GGGATCCTCTTCTACGGCCCCCCGGGCTGCGGCAAGACGCTCCTGGCCAAGGCGGTCGCGACGGAGATGAACCTGAACTTCCTCTCCGTCAAGGGCCCCGAGCTGATCAACCAGTACGTCGGCGAGAGCGAGCGCAACATCCGGCTGCTCTTCCAGCGGGCCCGGGACAACTCGCCCTGCATCGTCTTCTTCGACGAGCTCGACGCGCTGGCCCCCGCGCGGGGCGCCAAGGGCGACGCGGGCGGCGCGATGGACCGCGTCGTCTCGCAGCTCCTCGTCGAGGTCGACGGCGTCGCGCAGACCCGCTCGGACGGCTCCGCCAGCGGCGACGTCTTCATCATCGGCGCGACGAACCGGCCGGACCTGCTCGACCCCGCCCTGCTGCGGCCCGGCCGCTTCGACCGGCTCTGTTATTTGGGCATCCCCGCCTCGCGGGAGGAGCAGCGCCACGCCGTCCGCGCGCTCACCCGCAAGTTCGACCTCGCCGACGACGTCGACCTCGACGGGCTGCTGGCGCCGCTCGACTTCATCTACACCGGGGCCGACTTCTTCGCCCTCTGCGCCGACGCGATGATGTTTTCCGTCGAGGAGGCCCTCGACCGCGCCAAAGGGGCGGCCGCCGAGGACGCCGCCGACGACGACGGCCCCGGCCCCCCGATCAAAGTGACGATGGCCCACTTCCTGCGGGCCCGCGGCCAACTCAAGGCGTCCGTCACGAAGGACGATCTCAGGCGGTACGAGTCGCTCAAGGCGAAGTTCAGTAGTTAACATGGGAAGGGAGTGGGTGGGGATTACACGCGACGAGGTCGCGTTAGGTTTCTCCATCCTTTAAGCACAAGTGGCGCTGGGGGTTGGTTGTTTTTTATATTATTTTAACGAATGCGTAATACTGTACATACTTGTTGGCTGTTGAGAGTATCCCCAAAATAGTGATCTGATAAAATTAACCTATCCAATTTAGTTTCATGGAATGCATAATTAGGTGTAAGAACGAACTTTTGGGACCGCCACAAGGGGAGGGGGGTGGACGTGGATCTCTCTCTCTCTCTCTATATATATATTATATATACATATATAGATATATATAGATAGATAGATGCTGGGAGGCGGGGTATAGCTATTTTTCCCTTTTCTTTTCTTTTTTTGGGGGTTGAGAAGGAAGTGCGCTGAGACACCCGAGTCAGTCGTGTATTCTACCGCGAGCCGGGTTCACCTTGGAAGAGCGATGTCCTTAGAGGCGCTTGCTTCACGACGCATCCGTCGAGCGTTCGAGCCGACGGAAAAGCACTGGAACGATGACGCGCTGGTGACGCCGTGGGAGAACATAGTCCCGCCTTTGCACAAGGCCACGGTGTTTAGCCTCCGCAACGTCTTTTTCTTCTCCCATGCCACGGCCGTCCAGGCCGAGGCCCTAAAAGTCCTGTCCGGGGAAGGCCAGAGTGCGATTATCGAGGCCCCCACCGGAAGTGGGAAGACCCTGTCCTTCCTCATACCGATGATGGAGCGCACCCTTCGCTGGTGCGAGGCACACGTGGCGGCGCACCAGCGCCCGCCCCTCACGCGGAATATCCTGGGCCTCGTCCTCTCCCCCTCTCGCGCGCTCGCGGAGCAGACGTACGTGGTGGGCAAGCAGCTGGCGGCGCGGTATCCCTACAACGTCCAGTTCGTCCTGTGCGGCGACGCCGTGGGAAGGCCATCCGCGGTGATCGCGCACCTACGGCGAACCCAGCGCGGTGCGGGGGTTTATTTGGTCACCACCCCCAGGGATTTGCGGACTTTGCTCGAGCACATCGCGCAGGACGAAGGGGAGTCCGGGGCTTCCGCGCGTGGGCCGCCGACGGAGGCGCTGCTCGCCCAGCAGGACGAGGCGACGCGCCGCCGCTACGACGCCAGGCGGGCGCAAAAGCGGGCTCGCACCGAGGCGGCGCCCGCCTCGAGCGCGGCCCCCGAGGCCGATTC